CATCTCCGTAGCCCTTTGCTGGACCCTCTCCAGCAGTTCCCTGTCCTTCCTGACCCGGGGAGCCCCGAACTGGACACAGCGCTCCAGATGTGGCCTCCCCAGGGCAGAGCAGAGGGGGAGGATGACCTCCCACACTCTTCTTGATGCCCCCCAGGATGCCATCGGCCTTCTTGGCCACCAGGGCACATTGCTGGCTCATGGTCATCCTGTTGTCCCCCAGGACTCCCAGGTCCCTTTCCACAGAGCTGCTCTCCAGGAGGTCACCCCCAACCTGTACTGGTGCATGGGGTTATTCCTCCCCAGGTGCAGTACCCTACACTTGCCCTGGTTGAACTTCATCAGGTTTCTGATGGTTAAGATGAGTCTAAGTCAATGGTTAAGAGCGCGAAGGGCAGGCAAGAGGGTGGGAGATGCTGGAAAGGGACAGGCAGAGCCTGACAGAGCCAAGAGAAGAAGAAATACGTGGGCAGAGCTGTGAGCGAGAGCTCTTTGCTGCAGGAGTGAGGAGCTGGGGGCTAAAGAAGGTCCGGGAGAGGCCGGGTGAGCGCCGGCGGGGGCAGAGGCAGCGCAGGCTCTGTCCTTTGGGGAGCGTCACCCACAAGCGATACAAGCCCCGAGCGTGCCACCGGGGGTCGGTTTGTCAAGTGCTGCCAGGAGGAGAGAAAAAAGATGTTAGACAGAGAGAGGCTGTCCCTCTCCTTTGAGATTTTAGTTCACGTTCTGTTATTTAGAGCTGCTCTGTACTTGAGCTACAGCTGTGCTCACGGGTGGATCCTGCCACGGGGCCAAGAAAGCAGCACCACCACCTTTCCTGTTAGAGCCCGGATAATTTATTTGTGTCTGTCCGTACTGCCTGCGAGCTCTGGGGTTACGGCGAGAAGGGTCACTTTGAGAGTTTTGACAGGATAAAGGTGCAGCCAGTTCCTAATAAAACGCGATGCTCCTCTGCCCCGTGAGCAGACGACGCCGTGTCCAGGCCTGACCTCCTGTCCCGGATCGAGAGGGATGAAGAGTTCTGTGTCGAAGACTGTCAGGAGCCCCCGCTGACACGTATCGGAGATGGTCAGGAGCTTCCACAGACCAATGTCCGAGATGGTCAGAAGTCCCCGCAGGCGCACGCTGGAGATAGTCGGGAGTCCCCTCAGACAGGCGTCCCAGGCAGTCAGGACACCCCGCAGACAAGTGTCCCAGATGGTCAGAAGTCCCCACGGACACCAGAAGAGGTGGATCAGGAGGAAGAGGCTTTGGGAGAAGACAGAGTCCCCACGGAAGCTAACACAGGTGAGTTACGTAGGTGCCAGGAGGATTTGTTTCCTCGGGGGCCATTCCTGTCCCAGCTCTCTCAGGAGGTCTGGCGGCAATGTCTGGGGGAGAGGGCATGGCAGGTCACCGTGCTTAAGAAGAGCATGGCCGGGGAAAAGCAGAAGCCTTGTGGTGTGTTGTCAAAGTGCTTCCAGGGAAAATGGAACGGGTTGGAGGGCCTGAACAGGAGGCGATACGGGAATGCCGCCTGTAGAGTCGGTGGGGAGGGTTTAGGAGGGATGAGGTTGCTCTGCAGAGGTGACAGCACGCAGCAGACACCTTGGTGACTTTCCTCCCAGCTCTCCCTCTGCTTATGGTCCCTGTGTGTGGCTTCACTCCAGTTCCTTTTAACACCTCACATGCTTTCCATAGAATCATAGTATCATTTAGGTTGGAAAAGACCCTTAAGACCATGGAGTCCACCCGTTACCCCAGCCCTGCCCAGCCCACCACTAACCCACGTCCCTCAGCACCGCGGCTACACGGCTTTTAAATCCCCCCAGGGATGGCGACTCCACCACTGCCCTGGGCAGCCTGTGCCACTGCTTCACAACCCTCTCCGGGAAGGAATTTCTCCTAATCTCCATCCTAAACCTCCCCTGGGGCAACATGTCATGGCTCCCTGAGCCACAGCTTTCTCTGGCTCTTCTGCACACTCCCAGCACATCTCTGGTTGGCATCGCACCGAAACAGGACAGTGCGAGTTCTCCACAGATGTTCAAAACTGCTCTTCTCTTCAAACAGAACTCCCCATCCTGGTGATGAACGTCATGTCCCTGAGCGCGCAAAAAGAGGAGCTGCGCAGGGACGATGGGCCTGAGACAGAGATGGAAGAGGACGCGGCTGAGCCTAGCACCAGTGAGTAACCCAGCGCAGGGGAAACGGGGGGCCCTGCGGGCAGGAAGCAGCTTGCAGCTCGCTAACGTGTGTGAAATCACAGAATCACAGACTGGTCAGGGTTGGAAGGGCCCTCTGGAGATCATCTAGTCCAACCCCCCCGCCAGAGCAGGGGCACCTCCAGCAGTGGCACAGGACGGCGTCCAGGCGGGTTTGGGATGGCTCCCGAGGGGGAGACTCCCCCACCTCTCTGGGCAGCCTGTGCCACTGCTCCACTACCCTCCAAGTAAAGAAGTTCCTCCTCATGTTAAGATGGAACTTCCTATGGTCAAGTTTATGCCCATTACCCCTCGTCCTATCACTGGGCACCACTGAAAAAAGACTACTCCCATCCCCCTGGCACCCTCCCATTAAGTATTTGTAAGTATTAATAAGATCCCCCCTCAGTCTTCTTTTCTCTAGACTAAAGAGCCCCACGTCCCTCAGCCTTGGGGAGGGAGAAGAAAGTTTCGGGCCTGTCTTTTATCACCAAGCAAGGGAGGAGGGTAGCGTTGGGCGTTTCAGCCCTATCGTCTCTGCAGAAAGAACACCGGTCCAGTCGGGGTTCCTCCTCTCAGAAACGGGGGGAGAGCTGGCAGCAGCAGCACGCTTCCTTCCTCCAGCATTGCGGTAGAGCCGGTGTTGAGCTCAGGTGGCCTAATGCTTCTCGTGGCACAGCCCTCTTCTTCTTGCCAGAAGCGGAGGGAGCGGGGAGGGGGGGGTCGGAAGTGGGGGGCGGCCGTCCGCAGACACGCTCTGTTCTGGTCCTGAAGCTTTACCAAGGTAAGGCGCAGAGCATCTCTTCTTCCAGAGCCTCGCAGCCCGTGTCTGGCTCTGGTGTGCGGAGTTAAAGAGGTTCTGGCCACGGCTTACGCCGGCAGACCGACCTGGCTGCGGTGGGGGGTGTGGAGAGCTCGCCACCACCCTCGGCGTTGCACAGCCCTCGCGGGAGCCCGTTTGCCCGCAACATTTGGCGTTTGCCGGCAGTGCCAAGTCTGACAGAAGCAAACAGAAGCCTGCAGTACTGCAGACTGTCGCTCTTCAATGATCCTTTTTCCCCCGCTACATCTTGTGGCCGTCGGTGGTGTCCTGGTTTTAGAGGTGGATCCCTTTGCGCCACCGGCTCTGATGGCGCCGCGGCAAACCACAGCTTGTTTTTTTTTTTCTGGGAGCAAGAGGTCTGGCTTGCTCGGGGCACATGGGCTGTGGTGGCACCTGCCCCTTTCCAAACTGCATTCTTAAATTTGTTGGTAGCTCCTTTATTGCTAAAAGCCTGCTCGGTGCTTTGGGAACCGCAGCCTGGGTTAATCCTGGGCGCGTGAATGACCAACGCCTGTGTTCTGTTTCAGAGGAAAGCTTTTTACTGGGAAATGAAACGGTGCGTGAACGGGCTTCTCCTCCTGAAAACGTCAAGGTGAAGGAAGAGGAGCCTGAAGCATTGCAAGAGGTTTCGGCAACCTCTCCCAGCCCAGAGAGCCACAAGTGCCCCAAAAATGAGAAGGCGAAGAGCAAGAAGAAGCCGAGCAGATGTGCAAGCAGCAGGCTGCTGATGGGCAACTGTCGGCGCGGTGACGTGCGCGAGTGGTCCCACCCCTGCACTGAATGCGGGAAGCGTTTCCGTCTGAAAATCAACCTCATCATCCACCAGCGGAGCCACGCCAAAGAGGGGCCCTACGAATGCGCGATGTGCGAGATCAGCTTCGCCGACAAACGCCACCTGGACCTCCACCAGAGCATCCACATAAAAGACAGGGCCTTTGGGGCCAAGGTCTGGGGGAACGTCCACCCAGAGCTGAGGATCCGGCCGAGGAGAAAGTTCTGCGGGGCTTTCTGCGGAGGTGCCAACGGCCTGAACAACGGGACGTACGCTGAGGGGGCCTGGCTGGGCCAGGCCAAGGAGAAGCTGGACAGAGGGAACCTGTCCAGCACGTGTTTTTCCCGACAGCAGAGTCCCAGGTCTCGTAGGAAAACTGTGTTGAAATGCAATCATTGCAAAAAGATTCTCTCTTGCACCTTTTCCCTTCAGCGGCACCTGCAAACCCACT